TTTTCTTTTGTCTTTAGAGAGTTTTTTTTTAACTTCTCTGTCATCATTTGCTCAAACAGTGTCTTTTATTTTTCTTTTACCTAGTTACCAATTATTTCAATTTCCCGTTCTATTTTCGCTAGCTTTATTGTCTTTTTTATATATTGTTTCCTATCGCCTCTCATATTTCTTTCAATTCTGTTTCGTTTACGTTCTTCGTCCGGATTCCATTATCTCTTTTCTCTGTAACGATAACAAATAAACATGAAACACCCTCTCGTTTTACCGATAGGATTTCATGGCGTGTGTTTGGCAGCAACCAATCAAACAGTCCCTTTTTTCCCCCTACTTCTTTCTCTCTCAATCTCTTTGTCTTTTCTTTTTAACTCGCTCATTTCTCTTTCATTTGCAACGCCCTTTCCTGTGTTTTATTCACACATACTCGCCGCTTCTCGATCCACCGCCAAGTTTTCTTCTTTGCTTTCACCACTTACAAATACTTTAATTGATATGAATATTAATTACTGCTAGCACTAGAATACAATTTTATGGCTGACTATATCCGTTTTTATTTCCATTTTATTTTATTTTTATCCTATATCTGATATGCTTAAATGTTTTCTTTTAGTCGACGATCCGGCAGACAAACTTTATACAGAATGCCCATCCATTGGTCGCATTTTATCTTTAATTTCTGGAATGAATCCCCCCCTACACCGATAATAAAGCTCACAATCAAACACATACAAATATGCACACATTTGCGTCTCTTTAACTTGACAGTTATATCATTTTAAGCACCATGGGGAATTTATGAGATAATTACCAGAATTTGACCCTAAAACGTTACAATCACAGTTCGGCTTTTTTTAATCGTTAGGTGAATGTATATAACATGTATTATTATTAATTATTATTATTAATATTATTATTATTATATACTAATGTTTACCAGGAGGCACGGTGGAGTAATGGATAGCGGCTCGGATTAAGGAATCGGAATTCGAATTCCATTATATTCACTTACGAATTAATACCCTCGGGAAAGGTATGCATTCTCTTCTTCTTTCCCCCAGCTATGCGTAAATAGCAGGACACCATTTGTCGTAAGAATTACTGAAAAACCCGTTTAGTTATTCAACTAGAAAAGGAACAGGTTAAAATCGTTTTGTGTCAGAATCACTGTCTTCCCAAATAACCAATGGCGAGAGGAAAAAGGCCATTCAAGCCTTCAGTAATGATACCAACATTCATAATCTGGCCTCCATCTTCAAAGTCCATTAAAGGACCATCAAGAGAATGGTGAATAAGTTTTAAAAAAGAGGGAACAGTGGAGAGGAAGACTGGATCAGGAGGTCACAACGGGAAGAGGGATCATCATTTTAATTTATAGTTAAAGAGATCAATTAAAAATAAGATCCAACTCAATCCATAAGACGTTTGGCACGTGAAAGAGGAGTTTCGGCAATGACAGCTAAAAGAGCAGTGAAAAAAGTCTTGAAATGAATTCGTACGTGAAACATATGCGGCACCTTGTTACTCCAGGACAGAAGGTTAGAAAGGGGAATATCATCTTGAAAAGTTGAAAATCATCTTGAATAATATATATATATATATATATATATATATATATATATATATATATATATATATATATGAACTTTATTTCAATCCTTCATGAGCTTCCGAGTAAAAAATTTAAAAATTTAAAAAATTTAATTTCCAGATGAATACCACAATTTTGTCTTTGAATAATGATGATCACAACAAATTTGTCTCAGAAAAAACAAGACCCTGATGATGACATTGTGAAAATGTTGAAAGTACTCGGAATAAAATGAATACGCATCAACATGGTAAATTTCTTTCTTCTTCTATTAAGGATACTAAGAAACATGTCCGTAAATTTGAGAGGATCCTATTAAGCAGAAGCAGAAAAAAACTTGTCTAAATTATTTAATCACACACACACACACACACACACACACACACACACACACACACACACACACACACACACATATATATATATATATATATATAAACATAAATATAAAAGTGAACATAGAAGTAAACACTTAGAGGCTGTTTCATGCTCTATGCAATCGTCAGGCCACGTGTGCTGTTATTTTTCTAATCACACACACACACACACACATATATATATATATATATATATATATATAAATAAACATAAATATAAAAGTGAACATAGAAGTCAACACTTAGAGGCTGTTTCATGCTCTATGCAATCGTCAGGCCACGTGTGCTGTTATTTTTCTAATATTTATATACACACACACACACACACACATTATATATATAAATATATATATATATATATATAAATAAACATAAATTTAAAAGTGAACATAGAAGTCAACGTTTAATTATTTATTTGCTCTATGCAATTCGTTTTGCCACTTGTTTTGTTTTTTTTTAATTTTACACACACACACACACACACACACACATTTATTTATTTTTATAATATATATATATATATATATATATATATATATATATATATATAAATAAATATAAATATAAAAGAGAAGATAGAAGTCAACAAGAGGCTGTTAAATCCATTAGTGCAATATAATCGTGTGCTGTTACCTAGTAATATTTAAATATATAAAGTCAGTATCCACATTGTGGGTAGTCTATTGTATCGATAATTTTACTGGAGTCGTTTAATTATTTATTTGGGTTAAATTATTTTGCCATTTTTTTATTTTTATTTTTGTTTTTATTTTTATTTTCAATTTATTTATTTAAGGTGTTTGGATATATATATATATATATATATATATATAGGTATATATATAAATGACATCCATTAGACATGAGAGTAGAACTAGTAAAGGTAATAAATCCATTTGTATAAACAAAGGACCCTAGTAATATAAAATATTAAACCTGATGAAAAGAGCTCAATGTATCTAATGCCGAAACGTTGGAATAAATAACGACAAATTTGAGGACATGTGTCCAGTGATAGGACCCAAATAGGTGAGTTAATACCTGGTTCTCAGTGGAAATAGGAGAGGATAATGAAGGATCGGATAAATGATAAATGACATCCATTAGACAATGGTCCGAATAACCCCAGTTCGACATTTCAACCATCTCAGAAATATAGACAGATACTGAAGGTTGTATAAATATGGTGACAAAGATGAGGACAATAGTCCGAATAATGTAAATAGTGTACATAATACCTCATCTCAAAAATATAGACAGATACAGAAGGATCGGATAAATATGGTGACAAAGTTGAAGACAATAGTCCGAATAATGTAAATAGTGTACATAATACCTCATCTCAGAAATATAGACAGATACTGAAGGATCGGATAAATATGGCGACAAAGATGAGGACGATAGTCCGAATAATGTAAATAGTGTACATAATACCTCATCTCAGAAATATAGACAGATACTGAAGGATTGGATAAATATGGCGACGAAGTTGAGGACAATAATCCGAATAATATAAATCGTGAAAGCTTTCAGTATTCTCACCACTATTTTCCAGTTGTTATTGTCGCTTTCTCCAGTCCATTCAAGTGAAAAAGTGAGAAACTGTTTTTGAATTTCCTTTCTTGTTTTCTTTTTATCCCAAATTTATCCGTTCCGCCTGACTATGTGTCAATTCACTATTGCATGCCATGAAGTGCATGTCCATATTTGGCGTGATCATTCATACGTAATGATAAAGCCCCATGCTCTGAAAATTTATTAGCACTCAATTTCACTCCGAATCTCAAATGGATCACATATATACGACCCATTGTTAAAGATAATGGAAACTAATGTTTGGAGCATTGTACCGATGCAGAAAGCACCTGACTCCTTCTGCTATGCTTTAACTTTAAAAGGGTTAGATTAGACTGGAGTTGCTCAATCCTCGCTTTCCAGCCTGGACAGAATTCAAAATCGTTTATTCTGCCCTATGGAGAATGGATAATTTCCCCATGTCTCGAGTCTGTCGCTATTCTATCCTTATTTCCATAGCTAATGAGTTCCACTTCTTAGTTTCACCACTTCGGACATTTCCAGCTAGGACTCGCTATGGCGCTTTCACGGAGAAGAACTGCCCTCATTTTCTGCGTATTCCATTTATACAGACGAAGTTCCACTCATAGAGTTCGCCCCTCCCCAAGAACTGCTACTGTGTGAAACAAACTCCCGCCTTGATTCTATACTTTAACACTATAAACTTCCCCGCTCTATGAGAAGGGTCAATTGTTATCTATCCTCATCATTCTCACATTGTTCCTCCTCTTGCACCTGTTCATTCTATAACGCTCCACCTTGAGTGACTCTTGAGCCTTGTTCTGAGAAATGATTAAAAAAAAGATGTTGAATTCATTCACGTGCAGGTCTCGTTTCGGTTGCTGGGATTTCCCGCCTTTGTAAACAACCGAAACCGTCCTCTTTATCCCCGACTCATCGGACACTTTTGCTTTACAGCGCGATGCAGCCATTTTTTGCCCGGTGGCCATTTTGTGCGGCGCTCTGGGGTTGTTTTGATTGAGTAAATCACACCAGTTCGTTTCATGCGGCAGTCGATGCGCGGAGGCGGCGAAAAATGGGCAGCGGCCGAGTGCATTTTGTTTGGAGGCGGAGAAGAAGAAAAATGAAACGGAAATTGAAGAAGAGTTGAAATTGTTTTTTTTTTTTTTGATTTTGATTTTTCTTTCCGTCTTCCCGAATCGATAAAGCCATTTGTGGACTTTGGATCAACATTTATATTTGTGGCACGGAAGGAAAATTAAGCGAAACAGTTTGGGTGACGGGGACATGAAGAGAGTAGGGCGCAATTGTATAACAGAAGGGTCCGATGTTCAAGTTCGGCAAGGTAGTGTCCACTGAAGGTCACTTAAGTAGTCAGAAAAAAAAATGGTTGGTGGATTTGTAATCGATTTAGTTTCTTGGTATCGATAAATCTGTGCCTGATAATGAGAAATAAGGCGGATCAAAGTGTAAAGAAGACAGGAGTGAGTAGAGGCACAAAGTCAATGTTGGAAAGAAATACACTTTATGATAGAGAAAAGACTGAGAGAGATAGAGAGACGTTGAACATGCATAGATACAGATAGATAATGAACATATACAGTAACGATAGATAGATAGAAATAAAGAAAGAGAGAAAGAAAGAGACTGAGATAGATAGATAGATAGATAGAAATAAAGAAAGAGAGAAAGAAAGAGACTGAGATAGATAGATAGATAGATAGATAGATAGAAATAAAGAAAGAGAGAAAGAAAGAGACTAAATAATAGATAGATAGATAGAAGATAGATAGATTTAAATAATGAAAGATAGACTTAAATAATAGATAGATAAAGATAGATAGATAGATAGATAGATAAATAATGAAGATAGATAGATAGATAGATAGATAGATTAAATAATGACTTAAAAATAAAGATAGACTTAATGAAAAAGACAGACTTAAATAATGAAGATAGACTTAAATAATGAAAATAAAATAGATAGATAGAAATAATGATAAATAGATAAATAATGAAGATAAATAAAATGAAGATAGATAGATGAAAGATAGATGCGAGATAGACTTAAAAAAGATAGATAGATAATGAAGATAGATAGATAGATAGATAGATAGATAGATCGACTTAAATAATAAAGATAGATCGACTTAAATAATGAAAATAGACAGACTTAAATAATGAAGATAGACTTAAATAAGGAAAATAGATAGATAGACTTAAATAATGAAGATAGATAGATAGATAGATAGATAGATAGATAGACTTAAAATAAGATAGATAGATAGATAGACTTAATGAAAATAGATAGATAGACTTAAATAAGGAAGATAGATAGACTTAATGAAGATAGATAGATAGATAGATAGATAGATAGATAGATAGATAGACTTAAATAATGAAGATAGATAGATAGATAGATAGATAGATAGATAGATAGATAGATAGACTTAAAAAATGAGGAGAGATAGACTTAAATAATGAAGATAGATAGACTTGAAGGTAGATCGACCGACAAATAGATAATGGGCATAGAAACATAGATTAATAAACAGACATAGATATATAATAAAATAAATATATAGATAGGTAATAAACAGAGATACGTAAATAATGAAGACAGAGAATAGATATATCGATAATGAACAGACATATATCGATAATGACGATAGATAATGAACAAAAATACATAGAGAGATAATGGTACATAGATAATGAAGATACATAATGAACAGATATATGTAGATAACGAATGTAGATGGATAGATGCATACACACACACACCCACACACACATATATATATATTTATATATACATATATATAAATATATATGAACAGACATAGATAATGAAAATAAATATATTGATAGATAGATATTGAACAGACATACGTAGATAATGAAGACAGATAGATAAACAGATATACAATCAGAGACATAGATAATGAACAGACGTTCATTTAAAGGGTGTTTCATTAAGAAGGATCAAAGTCAGCAGTAAATAAATCAGCATTATTGGTGAAAATTTATTTATTTATTTCTTGGATCATATAATTTAAGTCATGGCAATCATGTGTGAAAAATAATATCGCCCCAATATCCGCCAAATCTGAAAGAAAAAGGAAAAAAAATCATTAGACGCTTAAACTTAATTTACATTTAAAAATGGTCGAAATTATTGGAACACCTTTTATAAAAAAGATAGATAATGAACAGATATACGTAAATAACGAGGATAGATAGATAGATAAAGAGATATGGATAATGAAAATAAAAATATAGATAGATAATGAAGAGACATACGTAGATAATGAACAACATTTCCGCCTAGAAAAAAAGATTTTAAAAGCCATGCAAAATTCATTATAATCGAAAAAATAGAAATAGACAGAAAAGATAACCTTAGAACAATACTAGAGGAACATGGAGACAAATGGCTTTTGAACCTCAAAACACTTTGTCCAGACGGATTCAACCACAAATTTAACAAAACAGATAGAATTAGTATATAATTCCATAAAACAAGCCCTACCCACATTTTTCACCCACACAAGACAGACGTGGTTGCAGAGGTGTTGAGGTCTCACACATATAAATATATTCACACAAATATTTACACATACACACATCACACACACTCGCAAATAACTAAAAGATAGCATACACTTAACAAACACATATCCTTCCCAGCAACCAATAAAATTGTCAAAATAACCAACGTGGAAATTCTAAGATTCAGTAATCTCCCAGCCTCTATCTTAGAAACAACTTGAAAAAAGCCGTTTAACCAATACAATAAGGATTGACCAAAATTAATGATAAAAAACAAAGGAAAACTATAGTTCACTTTCTTCAGGGACAGTCATTCATTCCTGTAGTTCACTGCTACTAACAAGCAGGAATTTTTCCTGACGATGGCTATACAGGCCGAAATTAGTCGAGTAACTTAACTGAAATAATAAAACAATATATATATATATATATATTAATATACAACCCAGTGTGTCTGAAAATTTTAAATTTTAATATTTTTTATTTTTGAAAACATTCTGATTGATGCCAAATCGCTCGGGTTTCGATCCCGGATGAAAGCAATTAAACGTCTCGCCAGACTGAAGAGCTGTGGTACAGCAAAACAGTCTGTCTCTGGATAAAAATATATGGTCCCGGAAAATCAGATTGAGCTCTCTTGAGAAAAGGGTAATTTTAAAAACAGTGGCTCCTACTGCTATTAACGCATTGCTGTTCAACTGAATTGAGCTCTACAGGCCACTGATGTATGTCGTATAGAAAACATTAAAATTTCCCTTTCTTCCTGCTGTGTGACGATAACCTAGGAGTAGGATCTTTGACCGATGCTAAACGGACGGGTTTCGATCCCGATTTGAAATAATCGGACATCTAGCCACACTGAAGAGAAACAGTCTACCTGTGGATGACTATATATATATATATATATATATATATATATATATATAAGTTATGAAGAATTACAGCCTCTTTCTCTTTACTTCCCTCTCCCTCTTCTTTCTTTTTCCTTTTCTCCCTTCTCCCCTCCTATTTCAGTATATCCCTTCCGTTAAGTTAACCGTCTAAATAGGTCAAGGTCTGGTCACTCCTCCTCCCCCAATACAAAGTATGCTTGAGAGAGATATGAAATTAATCCCTCCCTATACTCTACCATGTCTCTTTAACTACTCCTTTTACACTCTCTGTTAAATTACAAAAACTTACACTACCCATCAATTTTAATTTCATTTTCCTTTCATTTCATTTTTTGGAAGTGCTATCTGATGATCCGGCGTTCATTAAAAGGGCTCTGGTGAAATAAATTATTATAACGGTACCTTAACGTGGTCTGTTTTTTTAAAAATATATATATATATATATATATATATATATATATATATATATATAATATGATAAAATATAGTTTTAAAGTATGCTTTATATATGAGTAAAAAGCTCAATTTCAATAACATTTATGTAGGAATAAAAGTAGATATTGTGGTCAAAAGTGTCTGGTGACAATCTGTTTTATGACTGAGCTTCAGGACTGAAGTGAGTTCAAGTATAAAACAGACTATCAACGCTCAGCATTTATCTCAATGTCCACTTGGATAGATAGATAGATAGATAGATAGATAGATAGATAGATAGATAGATAGATAGATAGATAGATATGAACAGATTGAGATAGATAGATAGATAGATATGAATAGATTGAGATAGATAGATAGATGGTGCGATTGATAAATTGTCGTCTAAATTATGTAAAAAATGAAAATACCACGGACATCTCATTATAACAGATATATTTACCAAAATTAAGCAAAAATATCCTGAAATACGGAAGAGGAAATTTATTCAATAAAATTGTCATTGGATTCAACTACCGCCTCCAGACGTCTTCGGTATCTCCTGCAAGTCTTCTGAATGGTCGCCTTGTTTAAATTGATGACAACTGCCATAATCCTTGCCTTTAGTAAATCTTTGCTGTTACAATGGGTTTTTTGTTTATCTCTCTTTCAACAGCGCCGTCCACATAATGATCAAGAGGGTTGCAGTCTGGGGAGTTAGGTGGCCAGTTGTAAGGAGTGATGTGATCGCAGAAATAATCTGCTAGCCATGACTGGGTTCTCCTGCTTGCGTGGCATGGTGCAGAGTCCTGTTGCCAGACATAGAGGCTTCCAGTAGCCACCCTCTTCCCCCAAAGCAGTACTGAATCCTCAATACTCTTGGTGTAGGCTTCTGTGTTGAGTCTGGGGTCCCGTAGGAAGATGAATGGAGGCATAATTTCTAATCACTCCAAACACCATGATGCTGACTGGATATTTAGGTTTCATCCCTCACGGTACATCTTTGTGGAGACACAAAATCCTTTGCACTGTCCTCAGATTGACTCCAAAACACTCTGAAATGTTCACATTGTAGCTTCCGGCATGAATGCCAAGCAGTACAGCATGGTGTTTCCAAATTTCTGGCAGAGTGAATCGCGTCATGATGCTCAACTGAACCTACTATATTGTGAAGTTGACAAAAGTAAAAACAAACAATGCGCATGCGCAAAATTAAAAATATAAAACGGCGACAGTGAACAGATTGAGATATATAGAAAGATGTGAACAGACTTAGATAGATAGATAGATATGAACAGATTGAGATAGATAGATAGATAGATAGATAGATAGCTATTAAAAGATTGATATGAACAGATGGAGATAGATACATGTGAACAGATTGTGATAGATATGAACAGATTGAGATATAGATAGATAGATAGATAGATAGATAGATAGATAGATAGACATGAAAATATTCATATGAACAGATTGAGATAGATAAATAGACCGAGATATATAGATTGATCTGAACAAACCGAAGTTGATAAATAGATATGAACAGATTGATACGAACAGATTGAGATAGATAAATAGATAGATGTGAACAGACTGATATATATATATATATATATATATAGAGAGAGAGAGAGAGATAGATAGATAGATAGATAGATAGATAGATAGATGTGAACAGACTTAGATATATATATTGATATGAACTGATTGATATGAACCGATTGAGATAGATAAATTGAGGTTAACAGATTAAGATAGATAGATAGATAGATGTGAACAGACTTAAATAAATTGAGATAGATAGATAGATAGATAGATATGAATCGACTGAGATTATTATGAAGAGAAAGACTGATAGCTAGATTGCGAAGATAACTAGATAGCTAGATAGATATGAAGCGATTTAGAAATATAGATAGACAGATAATAATATCCAATCATGTTATCTCAATAAGATTTATCTTCAACAGGACTTTTGAAGTCTTTTTTCCATTTCATCAATCATTTTTCCTATATCCACTTTTTTTTCTCGTTCAATCAATTGTACGAATTTCAGTAGAAATAAAACAACAGTATTTCGGGTGCATTAAAAGTATCAAAGATAGCCAACTATAATGTGGCTGGAAAAGGCCACGCAGGTTACGAATCTGAAAACAAAACGAAATGAGTAAAAATATGCTGGCGTCATCGTCGCCATTACCAACAAAGGCACGTCTGTTACCTGTTGTTGTCGTAACATGAACAATAAGCACGCTCTAGTTAATCGATAATCAAGTGATTTATTTACAGTGTCGATATTGGTAAAATCAACATCGCTGAATGAATGTTATTGCTTCTTCATTCGCTGAGACAAATAACAGATATAGCGTCTTTAATATTTACTATGGCTGTTTAAAAACAAACATTATTATTAACACGCAATAAAGTGAGAACAAGAGAAGTAAAAAATAAAAGCAGATTGTTGCATAAATACGTAGACGTATTCTTGATGACATCTTTGCTGTCACATTCACGACGTTTCGGCCGTTGTTCGTCCCGACCTTCTTCCGGCTCTGTCTATATTTCTGAGATGATGTATCATAATTATTTACACTAGTTACATTGTTCGGACTATTATCATCGTCTTGTTGCCTTATTCACGACGTTTCGGCTGTTTTTGCTCCTCCTTCTTCAGGTGATTAGAATTTTGAACTGAACCCTGTATTTGTCCCCAAGGACACATGGCCCAGTGCATAAAAGCGTTGGTTGAATCCACTGACTTAATCCAATGATTTGTGAGTTCAATACCTGGCTACAGCTGTGGTGAACAAATAACATGGAGATTTGAGTTAAAGGGAAATAACTGAGGCATCCGGAAGAGGCATGGCACATGGGACTAGAACAATCTACCACAGTGAACGAAATAATGGGTTCACTTCGAAATTCAAATCACCTGAAGAAGGCCGGAGCGTATAATGGGCGAAACGTCGTGAATATCGAAAGATGAAGATAACAAGTCGAGCAATATTTTATTCCTGTTTTGTTTATATATACTTCAGTGTACAATACATTGAGTCCTTTAAAATATTTTGTTTTCTATCGAAATTTGTCTACTCTTAATAGTATTTTAGTTATTTGCGATATATATATATATATATATATATATATATATATATATATATATATATATATATATATGTGTGTGTGTGTGTGGTGGAATGTCAAAGCAGTTACATAAACACACAAAAGAATAAATCCTTGAAAAAAAGAATGGAGCAACGTTCGAAAATACTCGGAAAAACAAATCAAAATTAGAAATGAATTTTACCGAATATATAAAACTAATTACGTAATTTGAAAACGTTGTATAGACTGAACTTGCCGATATTATTCAATCAAACTTGTTTATATATATTGTTGAAACTTGACTAATGCATGGAATAATAATGCAACACAAAAGGTACTTAGAACAAAATGTATTGAAACAAGAAAGTGTACACAATATTTACATATAGTCTTTTGTATATTCCTGGTAAGACCGTTCCTGGAGAATGTGTTGACTGAGTCGCAGTCGGGCAGAGTCTCTGGATTGAATCTCTTGATTCCTCTCACTCTCTTCCCGGTACCAACCATATTTATATGGTCGCTACTCCACTATGCAAATTAGGTGGATCCTACCACAACATATATATATATATATATATATATATATATATATATATATATATAGGCATGTCTGATTGAATAAATTACAGATATTATGTCTGCTAATTTTTAAGAAAATCTATTCATATTCGCGAATAACATTCGGTGTATTGATATTAAAGGATGAGAGAAATGTGCTATAGCTGTTTAAATTTCTTTTATTTTCAGTTTCCAAGTACTTTCGATGTACTTCCAAGATCATCTTCAGAGTTGCAAGTGGTACAAAACTATATGTCTGTAATTTATTCAATCAGACATGCCTAAAAGAGAATTTGCTGCCTAAATACACAATATATATATATATATATATATATATATATATATTCATGCATAAAGTGACCTATAGATAAGACGAAACAGTCATAGAATCTAGCTAAATTATTGTCATTTTATATATATAAATATATTTTATATATATATATATATATATATATATATATATATGTAGGAAGCAAATTCCCTTTTAGACACGTCTGATGGAATGAATTACAGGCATTATGTCTTCTAATTTTTAACAAAATCCGTTCATACTCATGAATAACCTTCCGTGTGTTTATGTTAAAGAATGAGAGAAATGTGCTATAACTGATTAAATTTCTTTTATTTTTATTTCCCAAATACTTTCGATCTTCTTCCAAGATCATCTTCTGGGGGTGCAAGATATACAAAAATATATGTTGTTCATTAGTATAAGTATTTAGACAGTTGTGCGTTGTCATCCATTACCGTAATTTTTTCATTTTGCTTTTAAATGCAAAACGTTTGATAATGTGCTGAGTGTTCATATTGTTTTCTAATGCTTAAGTTTGAGCGGGCTTGGTAATAGTAGTCGGGGCACAGTCCTATGGTTATAGAGAAACTCAATCGAGTTCCACCACGGTATTTGTTAGCAAGTTGATTTATATTAAGTCTGATTTGCTACCTCTTCGTTACCGAGGCCCGTTGGAACAGTTGGTATGACGTTTGCATGATAATCTAGCTGTCAGGGTTTCAATTCTCGCTAGTGGATGCGCACTGCTGATGAGTCCCAAATGTAAGACGAAACGTCAGTCCAGTGCATTCTGTTGCGGTTTTTTTCAGACTCGGTGAATTACTTATTATAATTATCAAATCCTTCTAATAGTGATTTTCCAAGCGTAGTTCAGATGTGGCACAAGTGAGGATCGTACACACTACTTAGTCGCTATAGCTCTGAGCGAGACAAGCTTGCTAACCATTGCGCCACCTAGAGGTACCCTTTTATTTTCTAAGCCCGATTTAGATGTGGCACAAGGCCGAAAGTATGGGGCACCCAGTGAGGATCGAATTCACTCGTAATTGATCTAGAAAGACAAGTTTGCTAACCATTACACCACGCCGAGGTGCCTATCAAATCCTATATATGTGTATGTGTGTGTGTGTGTGTAAAAATATATAGAAAATAGGAAAGAACTCGTTAGGTAAATAATTCAAAGTTCTTTAGTATTTTTGTTATTATTTTTAAAAAATAGTGCTCGATAAAAAGTAGAGCATAAATATAATTATTTATTTAAATATATATTGGAATCATATTTTTGGAATATTTAAATATATATTGGAATCATATTTTTAAATAAAATATATATATATATATATATATATATATATATATATATATATAGTTTATGAAAAACTAAGTAATCCGTATGGGTAAACCTAAGGATAAAAGGATAAAATATATATATATATATATATATATATATATATATATATATATATATATCGGATATGAACAAACATTCCTGAACGTTTTTCCAAATGTCAATAACTTATAACTCTGTGGAGATTACATACCCAAATTTATTAAGTACTCTCGACATGGAAAACACATGGATAAAAACAGTTCTTTCGTCTTTTTTTTTACCCATTCTGAAGAAATTCCAACTCAGAACTCGAATTCTAAAGGCAAAGTATACAAAACGTTAAACGATTTTTTGAAGGTCATTTTCTTTTTCTTTTTTTTTTTAAACTCGAGCAACGTCAGCTTGAGAAAAATAACATAAGATTTCATTATTTTAAACACACACAAGTGCATACACACACAACACATTTTTCGTTATTCATTTGATGAAGCCATAGAGGCGAAATGCATTATCGGATACTATTTTCGAAACATCCTTCTGAAGGTTTTTCCAAAGGTCAATAACTTAAAACTCTGTCGAGATTACATACCCAAATTTACTACACGCACATACACAGAGAGAGAGAGACACACACACACACACACACACACACACACACACACACACACACACACACACACACATATATATATATATATATATATTGTGGAGATTGTGCAGCCAAATGTAGTGGTGACTGGTTCACCGTGTTGGCCCGGTCTCACTCTGTATTTCATTTGAAGGTTCTGGAGGCACTTTACATCGGGTCCTGCAAGCCTTCTTTGTGCAAACAACGTGAGTGCTTGTTGGGACTCGCTGTCATCTGTCTCTAGTTCCTTCTGCATATATATTGTTTATATATATATATATATATACGTAATTTTTCCCCCCAATTCCTCTATTGTACATTTTTCTGTATTAATTTCGAATCTCCCGTTGAAGCCTGAAGAGCGGGGGCGAAACCAGTTGCTTCCCCCTTGTTGTTTTTTTAATTTTTTTAATATGTCTTGTAATATTAAATTTTATACTTTTATTTCGATCATTAAATTTTGTATCTACAAAAATATCTTTAAATATATATATATATATATATATATATATATATATATATGAATGTGTGTGAGACAGAGAGAGAGAGAGAGAGAGAGCGCGAAGTGAGGGAGTAGGGAAGAGAATGGGCTGACATACATATGCACACGTTTGATTATAAATCGACGAAACTGTTTGATGTTTTTTTATTAGCTATTTCAATATTTTTAATAAATTTTATGATATCCGGTTCCTATTTATAAATATACCTTCTCATGTCTGACCGCTTTCAACTATCACCAGCCATTTTGAATAGCGACTGCAATTGCTCGATGCATAAAGCAGAAAAAGAAAATAAAAATAAAATTACATCAAAACCTGGAACCATCTTATCTTATCTTATCTCACTCTCTCTCTCTCTTTCTCTCTCTCATTCTCTCAGAACATTATATATATATATATATATAAAGATATATATATATATATCAACTGATATTATATATATATACATATATCAACTGATATTACACATATATATATATCAATGATATTACATATATATATATCAGCTGATATTACATATATATA